AATCAGTGACTGTCTGTGAAACGATACGGCCATTTTCAAAGGCTGTAATTTGTGGCTCCGATGAGCTGTACCATGTTAATCTAAGAGGTGTTGACTAGGTAGAGTAGTCTCTGTAAACACATGTCTGCGTCTGAATTCACAATCTGTAAGCAACAGGACAAGAATGTGGTATTCTGGTTTCTGTTTGTAGTCTGAGTAACGCTAACCTATCATGTTTGAGCGGCTTTGGTTGCATGCAGGTAAACAGTCCGTGTGGAGCACAATAGAGGCGGAATCTGCAGTCACGTGCGAACATGTTGTTTATATATTGTCTCAGACCAATAGCCGATGGGTTCCAAAATTGCTAATCAGACTGTAAACAGTGAGTAGGACACAGAGGGGGAAGTCTTTGCTGTATCCAGATATCCGCTGGGTACACCAGGACACCCAAAACATTTGCTGTTACCCCAAAGGCTAAACAGTCAACAGGCTGACAGTCGATGGGTGCTGAGATTGAAGGTGGAATAACTATTGGAAACACCCCTCTGTATAGTATACAGCATCAACTTCAACAGCAGAGCAAACTGCAGCCTCCAAAATGGTCGTTAAGTTTAATCAACACCTTCTTAAAATAGTTCAATATATTTCAATCCTCATGAAAACAAGACTGTTGCAATAGACACTATTCATTTTCATCAACTTGCAATTGAGTGATGTACACTATCTTAAGTTAGTCAGCTAAGAGACACAATATCAGGTCTGAGCATGATTATATTATTCCCAAATCCTGTGACTGTCCAAAATATTTCAGAATAAGATTTCCGTAAACATAGCTGAACACACAGTGAACCCTCCGTGTGTGATATTCACAACACTCAGTGCTTACTTTCTTTGCCTCTATTTCATTTTTCAGCTCCGTCATCCGACTCGTGTTCCTGGCGAATTTATTGATCTTCTGTTGGTCTTCAAAAGTGACGTTGACATCTTCAACTGCCTGCAAACAAGAGGACATGAGTTAAAGCTGTGGTTAGTTGCATCCCAGCAGTGACCCTACTGTACTTGAATGAACATGACTATTTCCATTTTCTGCTCCTTGATACTTCTACTCTACTACAGTTTAGAGAGAAAGCTTTTTGCTCCACTACATTTATTTGACATCTTCAGTTACTTTGTTATTAATGACAAAATATAATCAACATATAAATGATGATGCCATTTTAGAAGATAAAAGGAGACATTCACAAGGTAGCAGTGTATTAAGTAGTTGAAGGGTAGCTGGTATTTTTCCAACCTGGACTTTTTTTAATACTAGTCTAGTGCTGAGCGAGAGGGCTGCAGCTGACAACAGCCAAACAGACTGCAATGTAACCACTCAGGGGATTGTTTGCACCAGCTCAGATTTTTATTTCAAGTGCCAAACAGCATTATGTAAAGGGTCCTTACAGAGACAGACATTTTGTTAAGGAGGAAGATCCTTTTTTGGACAGAGACAGCCTGACACTGCTCTTGACGAAGCCACAGTAATTTTATCAGCATAAATCGGATCATTCATTTCAAGTCGACAGAAACAAAATAAAACTCACAAAAGCTAGAGTGGTTCATCTTTTCACTGTTCTTACAAACACAGACTGTGGTTTGGTTAAAATAAAACCTTATTTTACAGAGTTAGAATGGAAAATATTGGGGGGTGGGGGGAAGTGGTACATCATAGTATCACAAACAGTTCAGGTTGTCAGGTGTATGCAGCATTTATGATGGTGTTGGTCAGTGTGTCTTCTTTGCATCACATTTACTGCAATAAAAAATGACTTAAGTCAGATGAACAGACTGAAAACTTTATCTCATGAGGTAAAACTGATGTTTCTTTGGGAAAATAATTTGCAGTTGTGAAAAAAAGGTAATAAATCCCAATATATTATATTGCAATACATTTAATATCGCATTGTATTGTATTGTGATACTGTATTGTGTGTCCTCCGGTGATTACCACCCTGAGAAAATATGCTGACTCTATACACCCCTTAAATTGCAGTTCATTTAAATGGAGTCTGGTGGGTTTGCAGATAACAATTTTGGCGCTGTTTACTGTTTAACAAAAATAATCTTACAGTTTTACTCTGTAGTGGTCCTTTCCATGAAGTTGTCAGACACTTAACATAATAATCATGTCAGTGGCAAAAACACTAAAGGTGTACAGAAGCCCTGAGTGGGAACATTGGAGCCTGTGTCCTCAATACTGGAGAAGATCCAAAAATTGTTGTTCCCATTTGTCAATTAGACACAAAAACTTGTGAATATATATAAAATAATATATAAAATATGATCCTGGTTTACCATTTGAAGTGAACCCCACCTTTACTAGCTAAACAAAGCAAAGTGATGTAGTTACACTTAAATGCATCAGTAATTATAATTCAGCAATAATACACTCTTCTGTAATAGGCATTCTGCATCATAAGAACTTTATACTTTAGATATTGTAGCTACGTTTTGTTGCTAATAATTAGTTCTTTTAAATTAATATTTTAACGCATATCTTTTGCTTGCAAAAAAAAAAATCATGACACTGTTACCTTTGCTTAAACAAAATATCTGACAACTTATAGCACAACTAGTCAACGTTTCACGGTTAAACCAACCCCTGCTGGCTCACTAGCGTTAGCTTAACGTTAGAAATGAATGGTGAAATTAGCCACCGGTGGCTAGCAAGCTAAAGCCGACAGCCTGTGTAGTGTCCTGTCACTGTAGCCGAATATCACAGCCCTCGTTTGGCTGGTTATAATCATCATTATCATAAGGTTGGTAAATTCAGGACTCTCGGCTGACAACACAAGATAAATTCAGCAAGTGCGTTAGCTAGCTAGCTAACACTTAACGGTAGCTAACGTATCCTCCCATCGCTGACAGCTGCACGAGGGCATGACTATGCTTTTTAAATACGACTGGCGCCGGCAACTGTGGCTTTTTAACCCCACATACACCTCTACTGTTTATATTTAGATCTACATAATAGACTGAAACTGTCTCTCTAAGACTAAATACAATTTATTTTGATTTAATACTTACTACAGTTCCCTTCATAGTGGCTGCCATCTTCGCTTCCTCGCCTGCACAAAGACGGCGGTGCTCAACAGGACAGTATGACTTTACCGCCACCTAGCGGGGAGGACAGCCTGGAGCATGACAATGGGCTGTATTTGCCAGATGATACAGGGTATTTGACCTCTTGTTTCTTCCTCTCAGTCTAACAGAAAATAGACATACAGGTAAAATAAGGACAATAAAGATAAACAAAGGTAAACATAAACATTTGACTGCTATAAACATTCGCCCTGGGGTAATAAGGGGGGTGTTGACTAGTTGAACTGGTTGTGTCCAGGGTGTACGTTTTTAACAGTAAAGATGACATTAAATGCACCATTTTGCCAGCTTTCTTCATTTAACAGCATATTATGGTTGTTCCTCCATCGAACACCTGTGTTTAATATTAAAAAGGTGATAAAATGTGGCATCAAACATGTACAGCTAAACACTCACCGAGATCAGACATTATCAATTTCACTATGAGTGAGAATCAGGCTGGTTTGGTATCATTAACATCAATTATCTTGAGAAATGTGCTTACAATATGTCAAACAAGTTATTTTATCAACCGGAACTGCTGTTCTGTAAATATTTCTACAGCAAACAGTACTGCACCCAAGTTCAAATATTTACTGAATAGCCTACATCTGCAGAGCTGGAGCACTATTAATCCAATTTAGCCTCGCTGCTGAAGATAAATGAGGAGTATCACATCAAAGATAGGTCAGCCCTGTTAGATATTTGCAACCACTCAAGATAAATGGTATTGTTTTGACTAAATTGTGACATGTCGTCTCTTCCTACCAGTATTACAATAAATGGGCTTTTTGTAAAGGGCTGTGCCACAGATAAAACTAGCAGGAAACCATGCGTTGGTGCATCATGAAGAGTTTGCTTGAGGTCTCTCAGCTGCAGGCCGTGCATGGAGTCAAAAGTGCACAATCCAAACAGGGGAATCCAACTCCCACCTCAATGTGCAGGCTATAGGCTACAATTGGGACATTGTGTTCATGGATTCCAAAGCCTCGTCATAATAAAGTCAATAAATAGGCCAACTGCACATTTGAAGTTTTGCAGTTGTTTAAAACACATTCAGATACTTTGGTTGATTTGCATAAATAGGCTTTTGTCAGCATGATCACAGCACATTTACTCACGAAAGCGGCGAACGACACATAAAGATGAGGGTGACAAAAGAAGGAAGGAATCAGTTGGTGAACTAAAGTCAGTTTGTCTTTGATCTGCGAACGCCTCTCAGACGGGCCTGTTTGTATTGATGCATTGACAGGCCATCAAAGGCATTTAAATATGACAACGTGGAAGTCTTTACAGACGGATGATGTCATTACAGAGCTTTTTGTTTGTCTTGATTAGCTGTGATAATAAAGCAAAAAAAAAAAAGCTCTTTGCAACTCAAACAGCTCTTTTATCAAATAATATCAAAGAAATATAGCAGGTATTTTTAGGCATGTCAGTGTGATTGTTTTTTAAATGTTCTCACCATCAACAAACTGATTCTGTAAAAAAAACCAATCCAAACCTACCTGATCATAATGATGTTTGCACTTCTCTATCTAAAAGTAAAAAACCTAACCTGGCTGTGAGTGCAAACATTTTGTTTTGACCGTGTGAAAGTGTTACAGCTCAGTATCCTTCACACACATCCTGTTACTGCACAGTTGCATTTGTAAACAACAGTGTGCTGCACCGCCTTATCACCGTGTGACTGATTAAAGTGTCACCAGGCTATGATCATGTCGGGGTATTATCAGAGAAGTCACAGAAAGATTACCCTGAGCTAATCATGAGCTTTTATTAAAGATCACAGACACTCTGTCGGGGCGGATAGTGGACTCTTCACAGGAGCAAGCCCAGGTGATTACTTAAAAACAGTCCCACCCATTTTTAAAGCACACATTAAATAGCCTGTTAACAGCAGCTGATATACACAGTAGAGTTGGAGCAGGAAGCCAATCTCTCTGACACTGTGACACACTCTTTACATAATTCTTCTCAAGGAGGATATCACTTGCAACGCTTGCAGAGGTTTAGCGAGGTAAGATATTTAAATGACGTTAAGACAGTGCCAAACTACTGTGTGAATAGATGGTTAGATTCAACAGACTCATGAGAGAAGTTACTCACTATTTGCATTGTGTCTTTTCTTGTTTATGCAGCATAACAGATCATTCCTGGGTTTTTTTTCTTTTTGTTTCAGTTGAGTAAAAGAGCTTGTGTCTGGAGGTCTCGACTGGGAAAAACATGGGAAACGATAACTCCAAGACCAAAGAGCAGACCAAGGTAACTTCTTTTAAAAGTTAAACAACAAAGATCTGCAATGTTGTGATACTTTATTCCAGCGCTGGTTAGCCTTCTTTGACCTTCCGTAGGCTCAGTCACTTGTATTTGCTCATTTATAAAGCCACACTGGGTAAACTCCCTTCGTACATTTGTACTTTGCTTGAACAGAGATCTGACTGTAGCTAGACTAAGTGTTGTTGTCTGTTCTGAGCTGGGAAAGAAAGCTACGGTAACTGGTCTCTCTACCTAGCTCTAAAGCTCTCATAAGTACAAGGATGACTGAGGTGGTCGAGTCTTGTCATCGTGCATAGGTGCTCTAATATTTCTACATGTCTCTGTGTATCTAATGGGTTTTTATGGTGCGGTAGTTTGGCTGTAACTTTTTGTGTGCTGCTGTCTTGGCCAGGTCTCCCTTGCAAAGAGATCGACAATCTCAACAGGACTTACCTGGTTAAATATGGGTTAAATAAAATAAATATAACTGCACAGTATATGACTTTGCTGCCTCGAAATTAGTGCTTAGATGCACATGGAAATATATGTTAGTCGGACTAAAGGTTTGAGCCCTTTTTCATAATGCTGAATTGTTCAGGAGGCTCTTTACAGTCAATAAACCCACTGTAAACTACTGTAGAAGAAGTCTCGTGGTGCTAACATTGACCTATATTTCTTTATCATCGTCCATAGGGTGGGACGATAAACGAGAAGCATAAAAATGGATCAGCAAATGGCCTCTCTGCAAACATCACATCTAATGGGTTGGAGATTGCTGGTGAGATTTTGTAATTGTTAACATAAATATTCTGGTGAGTAATGCATGATGAGGATTTAACTGTAAAACAACACAATATCTAGCATATGAATGAAGGTGAATATAAACGGAGCATCACTTTGCAGTTCTCTTCAGAGGATCTGATAATAAGACTTATTTTTCGGCTCTTTGTTCGTTTCATTGCATTTGACTTTGTTGGAAAATCCTGCACATCATTCTGTGACAGACAAAATCAACTGAACTTTGCGTGTTTATGTTAGATTAGTCTTTTGGATTTTATAATGCTCTGCAAACAGCGTGACTCACAGCTGGACTGTGTCTTGAGTCTTCCAGTGTAAACTATAGGCGTAGTCTGAGACACTGACAAGGACTATTTGACCTGTCACGGTTCGGTTTGTGTCTCTGTGGTGACAATAGTGCTGCATGATTCCCACTGACACCTGAGTTTGTCTAAGAGCTAATGTTGAGCTAATGTTGATAAAGATAATGTCAGTTTCTTGCTTTGACTTGCCCATGTTTACTTCATGGAGCACCGCACAAGTAGCCTCAATATCATGCATGAGTTTAATGTCACATGCAAAGAGCCCAACATTTAAATCAACATTGATATCGATCATAGTGTAAACAGTAAACTTCCTTGGTAAAGTAGATGCACACACTTGAGTAATTATAAGAGGAATTATTGCAGCATAAAAATAACAGAGATCAGAGCTTGTTTAAAGGGACAGTTCACCCCAAAATCAAAAATACATATTTTTCAGATATCAGCCTTAGAGATGCCTGCCTTCTCTCCAATATAATAAAACTAGATGGCACTAATCTTGTGGTGCTTAAATCGCAAAAAAATATACCTGAAAACTCAACCGCTTCCAGAAATCATGACCTGGTTACTTCTTAGACCTGTTGTGAGCAGTTTCATGTAGGAACTTTATTCTTTCTACCGACCTACACCTGCCAACCGTATCACTGTGCAGAAGGACGTGTGCATCAACTCATAGACAAGAGGCTCATGCTCATTGTAAAACATATAAACATTTATGGTGTCCTTATTGGCTGAACTGTAACGTTAGCTAGCTTGGTGGTGTTAGGTGAGCTAGCAGTATTTAGCAATAGGAACTATTTTCTTTCTACTGACCTACACCCAATAATTGTATCACTGCCCAGAAGGAAGCATGCATCTACTCATGGACAAAAGGCTCATGCTCATGACAGAGCGAGATGTAAACATGAATGGCATCCTAATTGGCTGATTGGTAATATTAGCTAGCTCAGTGGTGTTAGGTGAGCTAGCAGTGGTAAGCAATAAATAACAAATATTTTCTTTCTACTGACTACACCCACCAACCATATCACCCCACATAAGCGTGCATCTACTGCTAGCTTACTTACCGGGATCTGAAGTCTGGAATATATTTGGCATTTTCGGCCAAAGGAACTTTTTCATAGTGCTAAACACCCCTATTTTTGTTGTGTCCACACTGCAAAAACTGTAAACAATACTCGTTCTTAGAACACTGTTTTGAGGGACCTTTTTGGCTTCTTTCTTTGAGTAGATACTCTCCAAATGAATGGACCGGGAACTGCCATTTTAAAGACATAGCAACACAAAACAAAAGCTCATAACAAAAAACAACAACAAAAATATGAACGAAAACATGACCAAATGTACTGACAGTTAACAACAGGCTTTAGTGAGCATATAAGTGACAATGAAAATACAACGCGATTTTGATTTGTAAAAGTCAAAGTGATGTAGCTATACCCATGCCTCTTTCTGAGTGGTAATACGATTGGCGGGTGCTGTAAATAGTTCCTACGTGAAACTGCTCACAACAAGGTCTGTGGATTATCTTGAGTCACTGGATCCTGATTCCTAGAAAGAGACATTGCTGTTGAGTTTTCCAAATTATTATTTATTTATTTGTTTTTTTGGCACTTTGAGCACCATAAGCAGAGTGCCATCTAATTCCATTACATTCCACAGTGACAGACATCTCTACATATGATATTTTCAGCACTTAGCAGCTCACACCAAAACAATCTAGATTGAACAGCATTACAGGCAAGAAGAAATATAAGTATTTTTAATTTTGGGTTGAACTGTCCCTCTAATTCTCTCCTTAATTCTTCTTTTGCTGTAGTTGATGGTGAGACTGTAGTCCAGCAAAATGGCGAGGCCCTCTCTTTAAACCTCGACACAAAATCAGCGGCATCTGATTTCATCGTAATCGAAACGGACTCCAAACCTGTTGAAGCTCCAGTTATTTCCGAAAACCTTGAAACCGTCATCCAGAAGGATGAGGTCAAGGAAAGTAAAGAAGCACCAACAGATGTAAGTCTTCCTACCACCGATGCACAGCCTGTAAGTTTGCTTTTCAAGTTTGTTTTCAAAGGATGAGTCCGACGACATGTTCTGTATGTTATCAAGTCCACAAATCCCATGCAAAGACGAAAACCATCATGTGTTGCCCTTGGTGACATGTTCCTTCGTTATGATTAATATTGGCAATGTAATTTATTTTGACTTAATTCCACATACATCGTCCTGCTGCCTGAAATACTCAGTACAACAAATGTCTTCAAGAAATAGAAATAAATGCAGCATTTATTCCTGTTTGAGTAGCATTTACTAAAAACTACAGTGCCCACCTCTTTTGGATAACAATTTAGCCTTTTTTAAAAGTTAAACCATATATTTTTAAGTCATTTTTGAAGATTAACATCTGTTGGCTTATTGCTACAGAGGAGGTTAGGTTATTCAAGAAGCACCGAGAGAAGGACTAATGCATTGGTTGGTTCTGGTCTTTTCTTAGGATTTGTAGAAAAATGCCAATCTAATCCATTTATGTTTGCTCTAATCTACAAAATAATCTGCCTGCCAAATTGTCAATCAATCAATCAATCAATCATCTAGATTTAGTCAGTTACATAAGCCACTTTTAGTAGTACATGAACCAATCCAAGAACTAATTTAAGAAAGACAAAGAAATAATTTCTGAAATCATGAAACAATAACATCACTCAAAGAAATTTTTCTGCTGTCTGACTCACCATGTGATCAAGCACTTGGTCGTTAATTGTGTCCCAGAAACAAAAAACTGCTGTATTTTATCTAAACACAAATGTTCATTTTCATGATAAAGGAGTCGACCTCAAGTGGAGAAGAAGCTGCCATCGTGATCGTCAATGTGCACCAATTGGACTTTGAATACCCATATCAAAAAGCTGAAATATCAACGCAAACAGACAGCAAAATGCAAGCAGATATTTCAACGCAAACTGGAGAAGATGATGATGATACAACCACCAATACAGAGGTCCCAATGGAAGTGGTCCTGGAGAGAGTTGTGTATGAGGATGTCATATTCAGAGCAGAACTGGTGGAAGTTACTGAGGCCAAAAACTACGAACTTAAAGAAACTGAGCCAGAAAATGCTGCAGAACCCAAATATAACCCATATAAATCCATAATAGACAATGAAATAGTTGCAGAGGAAGATAATATTGAGGAAACCATACCATTCGAGGTGTCCTTCAGCCTTCCTAAAGTGGTGGCAGATTGTGTTGAGGCAGTTTTCGCCACTGCTTCTGAATCCATTGACTTTGCTGCTGTGAACACGTCAGACCCAAGTGCAGATGAAGTCATTACTGAAGGCAATGGTGAAGGACCTGGAGACATGGCAGCTGATGGATTGCTGATTGAAACCGCTGAACCTGAGTCTAATGCTGCCACTCCTGAGGCAGGGGAAGGAAATGGTGTTCTTTCCCTTGACGAAGAGCTAGAGACTTTGGTGATGGAAGCAATCTCAGAGGTTGGTTGTGAAGAGTCAAATGTTACACCTGCAAACCAACAGGAACTCTCTGTCCCTCTTGTGACAGTACTTCCTGTTAGTGCAGAATCTGTTATAATGGAGACAGCAGAAACTGAAGAAGCTCTGCCGAATGAATCTGATGTTGTAATTGCTGAGGAGGTTGTTGAAGAGACAAATACGGAGCACTTAGCCAACCAGACTGCAAACCAAGAGGAACTTTCTGTCCCTCTTGTGACAGAAAATCTAGTAAAGGTGGAATCTACTGATGAAAAGATCACCACTGACGATGTGGTTGCAGTCAAGGACGTACCAGGAATACGCAAAGAACTTGATAATGAGCCTTTGAGAAACTGCAAAAGTTGCCCTGTGAAAGAAATTCTCATCGTAAAGGCTCCTTCCAATGAGCTTATCACGATTGAGGAGGATAAGTTAAGCTTTTTTCCTGAATTTATCACTACAGATAAGAATGTTGAGGCTGCTGAAGTTGCAAAAACTGACGCCAAACCAGAAATGGTTAAAGAAGCACAACCAAGTCCCGTCATTGCCAAAGACAATGCTCAGGTGATAATGGAGGCAGTAACGGATCCTCTCATTATCACCAATGAAGAACTTCCTAAAGACACTTTAAGCTCTCCTGATGATGAAGTCAAGCCTGGGTCTATTCCTGAAGTTGTCACTACAGATGACAAGGTTGAGGTTTGTGAAGATGTGAAGACTGATGTGGGACTGGAAAGAGTTCAAGAGGCAGAGCCTTGTCCTGTCATTGCCAGAGATGATACTGAGGTAACATTGGAGGCAGCAATTGATGCCCTCTCTCTAGAATTTGAATTATGTGCCATCACTCATCCTCAGGAGTCTCTCATCACCCCCCAAGAAGAAGAGGTGATCGCTGCATCAACTTTTGTGCCCCTTTCTACAGAACAAGGAGCAAGCCTCGCTATTCCAGAGGAGCCAGCTGCTGTGGAGATGAACAAAGAAGCTATGGAGGCTTCATCAAATGAAACCGAAGCAGTGCCAGAAAGTGTTGAGGAAAACACAACTGGAGGAGACGAACTGGAATTGGAGGTTGCCAGTTTTGAAGAACTCGTGGAAGAAAATGACATGGCAGAAGGAAAAACAGAAGTACGTTTAGAAGTCATGACACAAACCAAAATCTCTAAAACACCTGAACAAATCCCTGTGATCTCAGTTGAACCTGCATTAGAGAATCCAAACCCTTGTCAAGAAGATGCAATCATGGAGGTGTTGGAGAACATACTAGAATCAGTTGTTGAAGCTATTTCAGTGAAACCTAAAGTAACTGAGAACACAGTTAAGAAACCTGCAGATGTACCAGCAACGGACACCACAGAAGAGTCTATGCCTTGTGTTTCAGCCCAACTTGTAGAACTTGTAGAGGAGAATGTCACCCCAGCTAAAGTGCTGTTGAAAGACACCGCTGAAGGAACTGCTGTGGAAGTCTCTGAACGTATTGAACAAGCTGATTCCACCCTCGCAATATCTAATGACCATGTGGTGAGCCTCCTTGAGCGAACACTAAAAAGCGACATGCGTGTGGTCATTGTCAAGACGATTGAAGTTAGAGAAGACATAACAGAAGAGATACTGCAAGATCATACTGGTGCTGTTTTAACTGCCATTGAGGAGAACCCCAAAGATGCCACTTTAGATGAATGTAGTGAGGCTGTTCTTGACTCCATCGTAGAAGAAATAATTAGAGAACATGTTGCAGCTGAATTTAACCTTATGACTTCAGAGGAGGTCGCACCAGAGGGAAAGACTGAGGAGAATGAATCAAGCGTGAACTCAATGGATTCAACAACAGACTCACAAAGTGTCACCAGCACAGACATGGAAGCTTTAGTTGATAGGTTACAATCAGCTTGTGTGTCAGCTGTTGAAGAATCAATGTACAGCCTTGGTGGTTTACAGCTTTCTTCACTGGGACACAGAGTTACTGTTGATATCAACGTGGCCCCAAAGGAAGAACAGATGTGAAGTGTTTGTCTGAATTGTCTGAACTTTTGTTTTGAAAAATATCTGCCTACCTCTTTAGGATATTATGTGTTTAATATGTGGTAGTAACTGTTTATAAATTATTGTATGCTTAAATGTTTTAAAAGTGGACTCTTGGAAGATAAAAAAAACGAGCCAAAAGAGATCAAAATAAAAATCAAATCAAATTGCAACTGGATTGTAAAAGGATTTGTGTCTTATAATTTATGCACGGTGCCTTTTTTTTTTTTTTACATATCATCAACCCAATAAAGCTCAGATTGTGAAGTGCTGAAACATTTTCCAATAAAAATGAAAGTTTGTCTTGTTCATTCAAGATTTTGTTTCATTTATTTGCATTCCCTTGGTCTGATTTTAGTGACAAATAACATTATATAGAGTCACTTTTGTTGCTTTATTATGCAATTAAAAAGAAAAGGGTTGAGATCATAACTTTCAACACAGAAATCAATAAATGTTTTATTGGAAATAAAATAAGTTTGTGATTAAAAACATATTAATGTCAATTTGAAACTTTGCACATCCCAAAGTTTTGTTTGCAAATCTAATTCTTTTCTTGCTGTTGAGCTGAATCTTGAGGGCGACAGACGCTTAAAGATGTCAGGCACATCTCTATCGTCCTGTCTGAGTGACAGCATGGCAACATCCACTGTGGTAAAGGAGAGATGCAGTTTTGAAGTCCATGGACAGAGGGAGCGGAAATGGCAGCAAATTAATGTATACTTCTGTCTCCAGGCATTGTTATACTTCTGCGTCAGCTCTATGCAGAGCCTACGCTCGTGGCCTACGCCATTGTGAGCATTTATACTAATGTCAGTGGTGGAGTTTCTGTGAAGTGGTGTAAAACACACATTAAACACACATTAAACATGGCTTAATAGAGACACTTTCAAACACAAGTACACAAATCAGCTTCACTGTAACTCGCAGCATTCACAGACAAAACATTTGTCTTTTGCTGGACACATTTTCGCCACAAGTACAACATGTTAATATTATTAGCACAAGCCTATGGCATTTTACATTGTATAAATTAGCCTAGCAGCTAGCAGGCTTTCTCTATACTATTAGCTCGGATAAATCACACACAAGACTTAAAATGCTATTTTGTGGAGAATTTATTGTCTTCACAATTGATTGTTTCTTATCTGTGAAATAGACAGGAGGTCTGTGTCGCCATGACCTGTAGTTACATTTCTGGGCACGTCAGGCTACGCTGTAGGTATGGCATTGATTTGACACAGAGGTTTAGATCCCTCTTTAGTATTAGCAAGAGTGATATGTTTAAACTGGTGCATGTGGATCGCTTTTGTTTACATTGTAACGGGTTAAAAATACACATTATTTTGTCAGACTGCAGCTGCTAGCTCAGCTCAATTTTGCTAGTTACTCCCTCGTCATTGGTACACTATGTGTACAGGCTGCCTATTATCCTGCATGACATCGTGCATGCAACAACTAGTTGACTAGTTCACCACAGTGGATGCTGCATGCTGTCACTCCAGTCGAAACTAGTCAATAGAGACGTGTCTGACATCTTTTAGTGTAGGTCCCACCCACAAGATTCAGCTCAACAGCAAGAAACACTTTCAGACTAGCAAACAAACATGTTGGATATCCAAAATACCTTTCGGATGAGCAAAAAAACTTTTGTACTAAATTTTGTAAAAATTGTTTTGACTTTAATACATATATAAATATAAAATCCAAATATAAGGGTGCTCTCAGACCTAGAGTCGTCTCCTTTGGTCTGAATCAGGGATTCATTTTGTTCCAAAGTTGTATAATTGCCTAGAGTTGGTTTGTGTTCTCACGGCAGCATTTACAAGCGGACCAGATCAAATGCCTTGTGTGAGAAAGCTGCTCTTGATTGGTCAGAATTTCCATGTGGGAAAAATCCAGGAAGTAAAGCAAACGTTGAAGAAGAGTACACTTGCAAGATAAATGTGACACTTTCTAATGTCACAATGGAGGGTCAACTACGCAGGTTGATTTTAGCGCTGCTCATCGTGGACTATATTGCTGTCATTGTTCATTTTAGTCAAACCATACAGTTTGAAAACGAGGCGCGGCTCCAACTAGAAAACAATGTTTTGACGCATTGGATGTGCTGAATGTGCATATTAAGGCAGTACAGGAGGAGGTGCACATTAATAATCCTCCAGGACTGTAACATGCTCATATTTAACCCAAACAATGTGTCATGTGACTGCAGTTGGTTCAGAGTGAGGACGGAACACGTTCTCACCACAAACTAGAGTTCGCTTGTAACCAGACTGAGACCGCCTCTTCAAGAAGGTCTCAGTCTGGTTGTTTTGGTGCACACCTGAGTGTGATTGCTGTGTTCACACCTGCCCAAATGAACCGCACTTAGGGGGCAAATGAACTTGAGTTTGATTGAACCGAAACCAAACAGGGCAGGTGTGAAAGCACCCTAAGAGGTGTGGTGTGAGTTAACCAAGGATTATAGCGAGGTGCTGATCACTGGCAGTAAACGTGAATATAGACAACAAATGTCTTTTATTTCGATGATGACATTTCAGCTCTCAGACCTTCTTTAAGATCATCAGTCATTTTTCCAGATTGTTGAGGGCGTCATCATCATAAATAAAAGTATTGCATACAGAATTGCATTTGGAGCCAGAGTGTGTGACACATGTTTTCTACAATAAAAACATTTTTAATCACAAATTTATTTTACTTGAAATGAAACTTAAAAGAAATAAAAGTATCTCCATAAAGTAAAACCTGCTTTTAGAAAAGAAAGAGCAGTAGTGACTTCGTTTAAAAAGAAATACGAAATTTGAATCACAGCAAAGAAAAACTGAAGTGAACAGATTCACTAAAAATGATCTTAATAGCAGAGTTGGTCTGTTCTTTATTTTCAAAGATACTCACCACGGTCAAAACAGCAAGGTATTTGAGTTTTCTGACATTTTTCAGGGCATAACTCTCACACATTGTTGAATATCAATGAGTGAGGGGTGGGACACACACATTAATAAAAGGCTGATTGTTGACAATGCCCCGAGTAGGCAGAGGCATGGTTGGAATTGTGCGCCCTTCTCAATGCTGCGATTAAGACACTCACTGCTTGCATTATCAGCTGCGCTGCTCTAACATAACTCTCAAAGGCTAATTCTTTGTGATGGTATATAGGACACAGCTAACCTAAAGGCAGAATCAACAGTGCCAGAGAGTGTGACTGCAAACGCAGGGCCAGAGGAAGAGAGAGCTCCTCAAACTGAGAACGGAAACGGTCAACCTGCGGAAAACCAAACGGACGGTAACCCAGAAGAGAATCCAGTTATGAACTTCTTCAAAACACTTGTAAGTGGCACAATTTGAGTCATTAAGTGTGGTTTATGTGCACTTGATATTTTATTTGCTTGTAAAATTAGACTGCTGGGGAAAATAAATTAAAGAATTGCTGTAATCAAGAGCGGAAAAACAAATCCATACTTGTTATCTCCAAATATTTCTGAAGGCAAACAGCTGAAGTTAATGTGTGTTCTAATTTTAACTTAAAGCCTCACTGAAGCCAAGAGATTTGTTAATTTGTCAGATAAAGAGAAGATTAGTGGTAATAAATTCAGCAGTGAAGATGATGTGTTGAAATTTGATTGGTGATTCCTCTTATTTGAGGCGAGATTTATGGCACTAAAGGCATCCATAACAAAATCTGCCATGATGAGAGCGCCTGATGGAAAACCATGCAACAAGCAGCTATTGTATTTCCTCTTCATCGTGCTGTCTTTTGGACTCATGCTGTTTTAAAGAGTTACCATTGCCCTAGCCCCATGCTAATCAAGTCTTTGAACATGCGGGAATGTGGTGGCCTATTGTTCAACCCATAGCGTGAGCTCACAAGGGAGGCCTGTGCAGTTGGAAGTTGAGATTTGTGAAGATAGAGCGAGGGCAGGCCTACGCCATCGCCGGAGCACAATGGCTGTCACAATGACAGCGCATGTACTGTATGTGCTCTGTCAGGGACCTCAGTGTGCCTCAGTTAGCTTACCATAAAGGCCATAGTCTGCAGTCATGAAAGGCTTCTGTTTTATCTAAATAATTATTTTTCTGTGCCTGTTACATCAGCCATGTACGCTCATCCAGAACGTTTTAGTCTGCAGCTTCATTGCCAGCTATATGAAATAACATCAATGCGTACACTTTAACATTTAAAGGAAAGTTTTTCTTCTTGTTATGTGTGTGGCATGAATAACTTGATTAAAGATATTTAATGTTCCTTCCCTTGTTGCACAGATGACTCCCAAAACAACCAAAAAGGAAGCAGCAACTCCTGATGCCACGAAAGACCAGGTGAAGACATATTTATGAAACATTACATCACATATTAACCATGTTAAATGATTAACTGACCATGACACTCACAGATTGCTATTTACCCTTTTAAAAGAATATAACTATTTTAATGGCATCATCACGGTAATGCAATGTATTATTATATTATATTTATTTTTTAATTACTTTTCTATCTAACCCTTTAAACAAGTTGATAAAGCTGCTGCATTAATGTTGCACTCAAATTTGTCTCAGTTGCTTTGCGGACCCGTGTTGTCCAGATATATGCCAAAAGAAGGCATTCCTGCACGGCGTAAAGATGCAAAGCAACAGAATAAATGTTATGTTTTAGCCTACATAAAAGCTTTTTGCTAAAAAGAATATATTCAGATGTAACCCCATAGTAATCACCAACATATTGGTCAGTAGCTGTAATTTGATTACACATTTTTCTTAGTAACCGTAACTGATTATAATTACATATTTTTTGTAATTTAATAATGTAACTTCTAGGGCTGACCCAAAAAATTTGAAGCTTCGAAGCTTCGCTCAATGGCACGGGATTCAACTGTGAAAAAAAAAATTCGAAGCTTCGGCGCTTTCTTTTTTCGTTTTTTGGAGAAACACAACACAACACTAACCCCATCAACGAGCCACGAGCCGCGGCTCTGAGTGCTCTGAGTTGCGCATCTGTTTGACTGTGCTGCAGTGTGTGCTGAGGGTTTTAATTTAAGGTGCTCACAGACTCAGGCGCACTATAAGCGGAGTGGACTCCGCGAGGAATGTCCGCAGTCATTCGGGCTTCCATAGATGAGCGCGCTTCCGCGTTGTAGTTTCCTGTAAAAATGTCCGTGAAACACTACATTACCCCCAATTCTTGCACGTTTCTGTCATGGCGATGTGAAAAATACATGCCGAGCAGTCTTTTGAGTGACACTGGTGCGCGGAGTGGAGTCCACGCGGTCGTAAAATCTGAGCTTTGCGCGCACAGGGCTTGCGGACGTCCACTTTTAGTACGCGCGGACCTCCGCAGACCCCCCCCCGGCCATCGTCGTCGAATGCAAATTATATTCGTTCTGAGCTCAGAAGCTTCGAATGTCCAAATATGGAGTCAAAGGTCAGCCCTAGTAACTTCATTACATGTACTGTAAAACTTCGTCTCATCCCAGTTAAACTTCCAGTCTCTTTTACTAGCCTGGTGTAGCTACATATTTAGACAAATAAAGGCCTGTCTCAATTAGAGGCCTGGTCTGGTTGCCAGGCAGTTAATTTTTATCGAGGTTCTTTGGATGTATAAAACAGGTCGTTGGCTACCCACTTGAGCTAACGTTAGTTAGGTGCTTCAATCGCACATCAAATATAAATGTTTAAACTTTTGAGATGTGACACATGGTTAGCTTGCTTTTACTGAAACCATGAGGATAAAAGACAGTAATTTATTCAGATATACCAGCCTGGTAAACAAGAAAGATGAAAAAAAGTGGTGACACCCTGCCTCTTAAGCAGTCATATAATCAGAATATGTGTCCATTCTTTGATTACTCTGTAATCAAAGACTCATATTCTATCAAAAGAATCTAAAGGGTTTTCCATTAAAATTTGTCCAAGTTGTGAGTATTGTCTTAACAGGATAAGGTGCTGTAAAACGAGTGTTGTAACTCTCTTTCGGATTCGCTGTCTCTCGGAGCTCGATCAAATTCATGATTTATGATTAATATATTATCTGATGCCTCTTTTTTATACAAGTAATACCCATACTGCTTTAAATAAACAATTTGATTGACTTACCGATCTTTGCTGAGCAACAAGTTTGTGTGAAAGGAATTAAAGGCCTGTCCCAAATATAGGCCTGTTGAGTTCATTGACTTAAGCAAATAGTAGCCTGGGCTACTAATTGAAGTTTCATGGTAACTAGTTACTCCCCAGCACTGATAGTACCACCGTAAGGTTATTGAGAATGGTTTTGATATTCTTGTTTGACTTTCTTTCATTATTATTTTAAATATTTTGGTTTACAAAGCTGTAACCATGAACCTAGTAATGTCAGGAGTTGATTATTTAACTAGTAGACCTATGTATATATGTTTATTTCGATTAAACACAAGGCTCACGGTTTTTCTTCAGGTTGCTAACTGGCATCCATCTCTGTTCATTTCTCATTCTGCTTGTATTTACCATATTCCTTATTCCAAAAAAAGAGAATATTTTATTTCTAAAGAACCAATAAGCATTTACACACGAACACAAGCTTTTTTTTGCAGATCTTTGTTTGCTTCACTTGAACTTAATCTTTCCAACTGCTTCTTTTTCTGTTGCCAAATAGTCCCAGAAGGAGACTCAACCAGCAGCAACCACCACTGTGAGCACATTACCCATAAAGTGTTTTAATTTGTTTTTATTTTATTAGAAAAGCTATATTTACTGAGTTTGGTTAACTTACATAGATGCCACTTTGTTTGCTTATGTTGCATTTTACATACTAACTCATTTTTAATAGTCTGATTTGGATGAAAACATAGTTGCTAAACTGACTTTACCATGTACCATTCCCCACCTTAAATTGTCATTTTGTGTTTGAATATGTATTTGCTGTTAAGTGTGACTGTTTCATTCAACACCTATTCTCTCTTGAATAGGTTGCACAAGTATCTGAGCCGCCCGCAGCACCCAAAGGAATGTCTGTCCCACCACCACCTCCCCCAGAGCCACCGAAAATGGAAATCAAAGGAGAACCGGCTGCCAAACCTGTCAAAGCCTCACCAAAGGAACAACCAAAAGCTGCTGCAAAGGAAGTCGGGTCCCCAAAAGGAAAATCAGCCAAAGCTGCACTGAGCAATCTCTTCCGTCCAAAGGTAAATACACAGCAAACTGGAGACTGCCAGATGAGATGATTATTTTAAGGGGTGGTTATTCATGTAGACTTTTCAGTGAGTGAGTGTTGCACTGCGAGATCAGATTATAACGTAGTGTGAAATATACTGTATGTGAATTTGAGGTACTGCTAGGTTTCAAGGCACCGAAAGCCAAGGGTGCTTCAGCAAGTGGAGCCAATGTCCCAGCCAAGACTGCAGCAGTGGTACAGTAGATTATCATATTCTCAAACTGACCGTGGCTCATCCTGTTACTAACTGAACAACAGCTGGTTTGTCTGGAGGTGGCAGAAACTCAACTATTGGCTGTTTCCAAACTGGAACCGACAGCAGCGATTGTCTATAAGTTGGTTTTTATCCTGTTTTGAACCTCGTCCAAGAGAATCAAGTTTTTGTAGCTCTTTTTCAAAAATATGACCCCTCAGTTAGATGCGCAATAAAAGTGTGACTTTCCCTGGAAAAAAAGCCTCATACTACCATTACTGTTTCTACCACAGTCCGTATTTCCATCATGCATTTTGTTTACAACATTAAAACTGCATTATTGATTCCTTTAATGCAAAAACTAGTTTGACATTTTGGGGGATACACTGTTTTGTTTGCTTGCCGTGAGTTAGTTGAGAAGGTCAATAGGCCTACCATATTCACATCTGTGCCACCAATTACAAATGTTATCAAATAAAATGGTTGTTATCAGTGGTTTACAGCCGTTATCAGCCCAATAAATGCCTGTCGGCGCCTGGAGCAGTTTTATTAGGCTTCACTTTCACCTCTGTTGGGTTTAGGCGCCAATGCGTGGTTAGGTTTAGTAAAAACAATGGCATGGCTTAAAATAAGTCCATTTCTTACTAACATAATGTAATGCCACATGGTTAAAATAACTCAACATTGACTTTTCACAAGGGACACAAACCCCAGTATCACTGGTGAAAGTCCTGTGTTTTTTTGACCCCCCCCAACCACCTTCATATGCAAACTTCCTTCCTCTTTTATACAACCGTTACGTCACCTGACCTCCTCTGTTGCCACCTAACAACAGAATCACAATGTTTATTGACAATAACTTTCAAATAAAAAACTCTCACGCCATGTACATAAAATCAAACGTCGCTGAGCAAATGTTGCCTCACTTGGTTAGCTTTTAGCCCTCTAAGAAATGGGCCTCCCAAAAATTAATATCAGTTGAAATTTCTGCTATATTTAGAATATTTTTAGTGCTTCACCTTGCTGTCAGACAGCCTTTCTTGCAGGCAACTGAAGCCATTAACTTAGAGCCACCAGACTTCATTGACAGAAAAATCAAAACATCATTTTACTTTGCAGAACACTGGAGTTGCTGATCCACCGTTGCCTCAATTGGTTAGTGTGTAAGATAAAGCTGAGCAAATATTTAAATACCGCATACACTTACACCAATATTGATTTAACCAAGTGGCTAAAATACGTTTTGTTGTGGCCCCATCCATAGCTGTATTGCCAGGAGATTTAGTTTATCATAGATGACAGAGAAGCAACAAAGTACATAAAATTAGCACAGCAGAAATGTCAGATAAGTCGAACCACTGCCAGTTGTCTACCTGGAAGTGATTGTTGCTGTTACCACAACGTCACAGTGATTAGGTCTATAATCATAGCCATTTAATGGGCTGACAGTGGCGTTCTGAGCCTACGAGTCCATGTAGCAAGACCCTTTTAACCCATATCTATGAGGCTGATAACCACTAAAAATGGCCATTTAATTGTGTTAACATTTGAGCCTAGTGTCTGTGCGCTAAGTATGAAGCTAGAGCCGGGAGACCGTTAGCTTAGCTAAGCATAAAGACTGGAAACAGGGGGAGACACCTAGCCTGCCTCTGCCCAAACAGAGTACCCTCTACAGCAGTGGTTCCCAACTGGTCCAGCCACAGGTCCAGATTTCTGCTTAGTCATTAGCTCGAGGTCCACACAATTTAATGCATTCAGCGTCATACTTGTGTTTGGCTACATCATTAAACTAGTTTGCAGCGTCTGTCAAGCAGCTGTCCATCAGTCACTCACTCTACAGCAGGAAACTGCACTTAAAGTAAATGTTCTGTGCCGAAAATTTACTTAACTTACAAAATAAAATGGACACACGTTTGAAAGTCACTTGCGGTCCGGTCAGAATGGACCTGTGACCCACTTTTGGACCATGACCCACCAGCTGGGAACCACTGCTCTACAGTGCCTCTACAGTTCAATAATAAACACATTAAATTGTTTAATCTTTGCTGTTAAGTCGTCCTGTTCTTAATGAGGGGTTGCTAGGCATGCAGCTAAAACTCCAGGAAGTCAATGCACCCAGCTACAAAACCTTGAAATTAAAACAAACGACATGCAACATAATTAGTGAGCATTACAGGTGCTGGTAAGTCTATTCGTGAACTTTGGAGAGAGCCAGGCTAACCTTTTCCTTCTGCTTCCAGTCTTTATGCTAAGCTAAGCTAAGCTAAGCTAAGTTGCCTCCCGGCCTTAGCCCCATACTTAGCTTTAAGACATTAGGGTTGATCTTCTCATCTAACTCTTAACAAGACAGCAAAAAAATCCCCCCTAAAATGTGTAACTATTTCTTTAACCACTTCATCTTAGTCAGCATTACCAAGCTAACATATTCATCACTTTATAATAAAACTTTTCCTCTGCTTTTGAGGACATTTCCTGTCTGTCGTTTTGCCTTTTACTAACAATAAGAATTCCTTCACTGTCCTGCAGACAATCAAGGATGCACCACCAGAGCCAGCAGTAGAAGTAGAGGTACAACCAGTTGTAGAAGTACAGGTAAACTAGAGAGCATGCTTAATCTTCTCAGTTGTATTCAGGGGATGTATTTTAATGTCAGTTTGAATCTCAGTAGTCTCTCAGAAAACTTCTCACTAGCACAGTGGGTCTTACTTTGAATCATCTTTTAAGGATTACAGCTGTGCTCATTACAGACATGCCATATGCAGTGAATTACAACATTTCCACATCTTAATTTGCATCACTTCAAAAATAAAAAAGTAGTTTTGCTCTGCAGGAGACACCAGTGGAAGTGCCAGAGCCAGTTGTTGTAGAAGTCCAGGTAAATCAAAGGACGGTTCTCAATCTTGGGGGTTTTGTCTTTTTTAGGGAAGTGGAATAATCGTCTGATCCTCTGATTATATCACATCACTATGTTTCAATCGAATTGATTTTTTCTCACATGCTGTGATTGATTTGCATCTGCTCAGAGTGAAAATAATGTTGAACCTCAGGAGACAGCAGAGGAGGTGGCACAGCCAGTTGTAGAGGAGCAGGTAAATCAGCAGGAAGTGCTCGGGAATATTAATTCTTAATTTTCTTCGCTCTACAGGCACCTCTGACATGATGTTGTACCAGATGTACCAAATGTTATGCTGAACCAAACATAATATTTAATTCATTTCATTTAACACACATGAAATTTGGCATTTGCAGTCATTATTTTTCAAATTGTATCACCAGTGTTGTCTGTGGTATATTTCCATCATGACAGATGAGTCAGTCCATGATTTACTACATTTCATACAGCACTTGAATTGATGGGAAAACAAATAATTTTTCCTTTCCAGCAGGTGGTGGATGCGGCACCACAGCCAGAGGTAGAAGATGAGGTAAATAAAGGAGTTCGACATTGTGGGAAATTCGCTTATTTCCTGGCTTGCAGAGTTAGATGAGAGGATAACTCTGTTAGGTGTGAGGCAACAGCGAGCAGCTGGTTAGCTTAGCTTAACGTTGAGGCTGAGAGTGGGGGGAACCAGCTACACTGGCTCCGTCCGAGGGAAACAAAATCCACCTATTAGCACCTCTTATGCTGTGTAGACGGCAGATTAACAACACCTTCTGAACGACATGGGAAAGCAACAGAATGGACGGTAAAATGAAAAATGCATGATGATATGTTGCAGTGGTGGGGTGGGGGAGCCGTGCTGTCTGTGTAATCATGTTCTCCCTGTGTCAGCGTGGGTTTTCTCTGGGTACTCCAGCTTACTCCCACAGTCCAAAGACATGCAGGTTAATTGGTCGTAGGTGTGAATGTGAGTGTGAATGGTTGTCTGTCTCTGTAGCCCGTTTTAAACAGGAATTGTGCAAATTTGCAGGAAAGCTCAATCAGTCTTCGTTCAGCATTGGCAGTATAAAAACAAAATCGGGGAGTGTGGCAAAATGGCACATGACGGTTAATGGCCGAGGAGGGCGCGCAATTCCTTGTCTCCCCAGTTGCTCATCTTTACTGTGTCTTTCAGGTTTGCGTTTCCCTCTTGCTACTAGCTGCTCACTAATTCCTGCGATCAGCTGTTTCCTGTTAAGGCCCATTTATGCTCGACGTTAAATACAGATCCGGATACGGATGGAGCCTTCTGTCCGTGCTCCACGTTCATTTCTTCCGTATTTCTGCACGTTTCCATAAAGCTTACGGATACGGGCCAAACGGAGCAGTACCACCAGAAACCGTGGGGGCAGTGTTGCTGTCACTACCTGATATGTAGCTCTAGTGAGACACGAAGAAGAAATAAAAATGGTGGAACTTTTTCGTCTTAGACGCTGAAAATAAAATAAAAGAGGGAGACAGGTTTTTCCAATTTTATCTTATTTTGTTATATTTCTCTCTCTCCTCTCGCTGGAAGCCTCGGACCTCCCGCCTCCGCTTTGATTAAACACTGAAAATAAAATAAAAGAGGGAGACAGGTTTTTCCTATTTCATCTTATTTTGTTATATTTCTTCCCCTCCCCTCTCCGCACTCCCAGCCCTGCACATACCCCCAAAGCTCGTGTATCCCTCTCTGTGGAGCCCCCCCCCCTCCCCGCCCTCCCAGCTCCACTCCGCTCCCAGGGCCGACCCTCGCGCCCTTCGACTGGGGTCCCTCTGTTTTTGTCTTTTATGCAAGAGGTACATTATCAATATCTCCTCCACAGTCGCCATGTTTGTTTTTGAGTTTGTTGTTGTCATAAACTTTTGACTCTGGACTGCCCCCTAGTGGATATATTGGTTAACATCCATGCCAACGTAAAGGGCGCATGGAAGTATGTGGGCAGTGACGGTAACATCGTTTGAAACAGACGTATACATTTTCGTATGTAAAGGGAGCATAAATGGGCCTTTAGTCCACCGCCAGTGGGTCGCACGTGCGGTGTCATCAACAGCTCCTCTCGTGGCGGAAGGGCTCCTCGTTCTTTTAAACCAAAAAGGTTCCGCCAATATGACTACCCTATGAGGCGGAAAATTAGGCACCTCAGATCAACTCGCCAATCTGCCGCTGTGTCTAAATGCTCGCAGCTTGCCAGCAAAACGGCCCAACATTCGCCAAAATCTGGCAGTGTAAAAGGGGCTTATGTGTCAGCCCTGTGATAGTCTGGTGACCTGTCCAGGGTGTGTATTTATTATGTTACGTAATTTTTCTAGAAATGTCAAGTAATTGTATAGGTATATAGTTCAGATAGTCCATGTCCATTAAACACATATAACATATCAAACAGTGAGGTTTCATACCTTTTGAATGGAGCCAGGCTAGTTGTTTCCCATTTTTATTCATCATGCTAAGCTAAGCTAACTGTTGCCTGCATTTTATTTAATAGGAATGAAAATGGTTTTGATCTTCTCACCTCTTTGCAAGAAAGGAGGAGAGCTTATTTCCTATAGTGTCAAACTATTCCTTTAAAGAAAGAATCTTCACCGGAGTTTGAATCATTCCCTTTCCTATTTCCCTCAATAACATTCTTTACATTTCTGCACGGTGGCGTGGGTTTCTCAATTCCTCCTTCGTACAGGAACTGGTTCAGGTTTTTCTGCCTCCTCTCTGCTCTGATCCTCCACTTTCCCCCACTCTTACATCGTCTTTGACTTCACAGGTGGCAGCTCCTGGCTTCACTCTGTCAGCTTCAATCACTGTCATGCCTTTAATTTGTTAATACCTCATGATGTGTGTTTTCTTCTCTGCTGTGTTGATAAAAGAAGGTGGATCCCTCAAAAGCCGGAACTCTGGAGGCTGCTGTGAAGCCAGAACCACCACCGCCTGTTCAGGAGGAAAAGAAAACAGGCTCAAAATCCTTCCTTTCTCTCTTCAAGCCCAAAGTAAGGACCTGTTCTCTCTTTAAATGTTTGAAAATCTATGAATTACCAAACAGAAAGTAACAGATTAATGTGAATTTGAGGTACTGTTAGACCACATGACCACAAAAGTCCAGGCAGCCTCCACAAGTGGAGTTCGGCTCCTCAGGAGAACAGCTGGAGTGGTAAATAAAGTAAAATTACCTCTCGAGACCAGACGCATTATTAACCAGAGTAATTCCATCAATTACATCTGGTATTAAACCTACTCTTAAACAACCTTTTTCTCCATTTTTATTATATTTGAAAACCATAACAACACACATCAGTGCTTCTGCGACCATCGCTCATAATGTTGCAGTCACAGAGACACGCTGGGTCCTAACAGCTGGTACATCTTAATGTCGCTTCAAATGTTGCATCTGATGTCATCTCAAAGTCCATCTGCGTTAAATGAGCGGAGCACATCAGATATTGTTATGTAATGATACAGAAGGCTGCTCTGGCACTGGAATAATTCAGTGTTTCCATCAGGCTGCTGATCCCAAGAAGGCGACCCCTGCCCCAGCTGCAGCAGCAGAGACAGCCAAACCCAAGGAGGAACCCAAAGCAGCAGCCAAGTCAGCAGAGGCGTCTGTAGACAACAAACCAGCTTCAGTGGCCTCCCAAGCTGCAGATGATGCCAGCGGGCCCAAGAAACTAGAGAAGAGGAACTCTGTCCAGCTGTTGTTTAAATTCCTGGTAAGGAGAGTGACACTTTTCCCCCTGACTGTGTATTCAGGTCAAATGTTAATAGCCCTGTGTAAACCACTAGATGGCAGCAGCAGCATATGAAAGCACAAAAGGTGTGGGCCCTATTTCACAGTGCAGTGCACAGCATGTGAATTGTTTTGCACGGTTTGGTTTTAATAACTTGCAGTTAATAAATTTGACTTGAATCAGGGGACACATATTCCACGCAGTGTTGCGAGGGATGCTGTTCAGTGAAACGATTCAAGTAAGAAAATGAGGAGGCACTTCTGGAAAAAGAGCAAAGATCTCAAGTTAGAAAATTGTTCCCCACAAAAAGCATCAAGAACAAGGTTTGTAGGAGACTTAAATCAAATGCCAGGAAAAAGCCTAATGGGTTAGATATGAATTCAGATTTTATGTGGCTCTTTAAAGGTCCAGCGTGTAGGATTTAGGGGTATATAATATTCATCTTTATGCTTTCATTAGAGTATATTCATCTTAAAATAAGAATCACTGTGTTTTATTTAACTTCGAATAAGCCTTTTATATCTACACAGGTACAGGGTGGTTTAAAAGAGGAGAAGTCACAGCGTCATATCGCTTCATATCATTGGAGTACAACCAGTGATGGAATGTAACTAATTACATTTACTCAAGTACTTGCACTTTACTTGAGTGTTTTCTTTTCATGTTACTTCATACTTTCAAAACACTATATTTCAGAGGGAAATATTGAACTTTATACTTCACAACATTTCTCCAATAGCTTTAGTTACTAGTTACTCTACAAATTAAGATTATTGCATAAAAAATATAAGAAGAGTTTATAAAATATGCTATAAATAAATATAGTTATGAATAAAAAAGTTAGCAATTAGTCAATTAAACAATTAGCCGATTCACAGAAAACGAATTGGCAACTATTTTCTTTTCTCTTTTTTTTAAAAAATATATATATATAATTTTGAGGGGGTTTTTTTTTGGGGGGGGGGGTATTTTTTCAAAAAGTTTCATTTATTTATTTATTTGTTTATTTATTTTGATTTATCTGCATTGAGTTCTTTTACTTTTCACACTTTGAGTGTTTTTTCCTGATTATTCTTACTTACTTGCCCAGTAAAATCTGGTCTGCACCTGCCAAAAGGCTCAATAACTGGAGCACTATCATGGAACATAAAGATGATTGATTCAGTTCACTGAGGTGTCCGCAGCCAGCCCTGGGCCGTCATATATTTTATACAAAAAATAGAGATATGGATGAGAATTACAATTCTGCAATAACTGAAAAGATCTTTAATAAAAGACTCTGAACAAATGCTTTTTAATTCAATTATTCTGTTGTATATCGGCTGCCATTGTCTTGCTGTAATCCTCCAGTATCGCAGCTCTGGTTACACTGCGCCTGTGTCATACCCCCCAGGTTGTTTTCATGTAATGTTTGTATGTTTTCCTGGGAAAAGTAGTGCACCAAAATTCACACACATCCCACGTAATGATGAGCCAGTAATACATGCATGACTCGCGTACTTTGAAAGGTTACAATCGGGTCACCAATGTGCTGATGGTAGTAAAGTAGGAAGTGTCCCCAGGCAGTCAAGATAGGAGGCAGGATGGGTCACAAAACACAGGACTTTCCCCAGGACACTAGTTTTCTGAACTGAGTAAACTTCAATTGAACTTTGAGTCATTTTTCTCCTAAACATAAGCACAGCAACCTAACTTGGCTAAACCTAAGCTCTGTAACTTTCTGTTAAGTGTGTAACTTTCCGTTTAATATGTAACATCATTTGTGTGAGGCCAATTCCTAGTGTATCATATGAACTGCTGTATGAGGATATGTTGCATAGCACATAGCTCCCATAGGGTCAAAGACTGTTTCCCAGCCATTATTTAAGAGCTTTGCATACAGAGCAGGTCCTCCTTCACCGAGTTCATCATGTTGTTTTACAGTAGTCCAGATTGGACGAACCAAACACTGGCTGTAGAATGGGCCATTTCACATTTTCGCATTTTCACATTTGACATCACAGACAGGATGGAAATCAGATTAGGAAACATTAGGAAACAGCATGGAAACCTGTGAAAACTTACAGTGGTTACTTCTTTTTATATATCTTACTTATTCAGTCTCTCTTTTAAATGCAGTGCAGACTAATTTGGCTCAGTGTTTGAGCGCTGCTTGGGCAGAGACGGACGGTATTTTGTATTAGCGCATCATTGCATCTCCCCAGTTAAGGAGCTTAATTAGCACGTTCACCTAGGTGTTTGTTTCCATCAATGCCAATCGGTGCTGGAGCTGATAAATACCTGTGACTCTCAGTCCGGTTACAAACAAACTCTGGTGCAGTTCGTTTGTGGTGAGAACGTGTTCCGACCTGGATCTGAACCAACTGCAGTCACATGACACATTGTTCGGGTTAAACATGAGCATGTTACAGTCCTGGAGGATTATTAATGTGCACCTCCTCCTGTACTGCCTTAATATGCACATTCAGCACATCCAATGCATCAAAACATTGTTTTCTAGTTGGAGCTGCGCCTCGTTTTCAAACTGTATGGTTTGACTAAAATGAACAATGACAGCAATATAGTCCACGATGAGCAGTGCTAAAATCAACCTGCGTAGTTGTCCCTCCATTGTGACATTAGAAAGTGTCACATTTATCTTGCAAGTGTACTCTTCTTCAACGTTTGCTTAACTTCCTGGATTTTTCCCACATGGAAATTCTGACCAATCAAGAGCAGCTTTCTCACACAAGGCATTTGATCTGGTCCGCTTGTAAATGCTGCTGAACACGAACCAACTCTAGGCAATTATACAACTTTGTAACAAAATGAGTCCCTGATTCAGACCAAAGCCTGACAACTCTAGGTCTGACAGCAGCCTATAATAAAAGATTAGTTGATGCTGTAATGAACAAACATTTACATTTTTTCTCCCTTTTAATTTCAGGGTCAGAAACGTAACTCGACAGATGCTGGGGTCCAGACAGAGCCAGTTGTCGTTGCTCCTGCAGCCGAGAAGGCCAAATGAAACCAAAACCAACAATGATGTTTCCCTGTACAGACTCCTTGTCTCCTTCCTGCTCTCACTCAGTCTTTATATTTATCTCTCTCCCTCTCTCTCATTTCCCTCTCAACCCTTTTCGAATTACTTTAACTACATTTATTTGTTTTGTTACTGTTTAGAAGTTACTATACGGAAGGAAAAGTGACTGGAAGGATAAAAGCAAGTTGTGAGAAAGGTGGGGAGGTAGTTGAACAAGTGGTGATTTGAATCGGTCAAAGGCTTGGTTGTTGAGATATATATATTTATATATATTTTTGGTCATAAAAATGTCTTGACAAGTATAGCAATGTGAGTGTGAAACCTTTTCTACAGACATTTAATGTGATTTCTGTCTGTTCTTGCAACCTAACACACTGGGCTTCATCAGTAGACAGTACCATGCTTTGCTTTCAGCAGTTAGTTTGTCAGACACATTTAAAAACACACACACACACAGGATCTATTTTTACAGTTCATACCGGAGAAATCACGCTGCTGTGGCGACGCAGATGATAATATGAAATGACACTGTTAAAAGTACTTAATGAAATTAAGATTAACAGCTCCGAACAGAGCTGATAAGAGGAGCATGGTCGTATAACAAACTGCACTTTTTAACTTTATGTAAGCTATATGTAGACTAAAACACATGTATCCTAACAGTCATGTATCGGGCCATATGGGAGAATCACAATCTTTACTGTTCTGTGGGGAACTGATTGTAAGTGTAACAAATGCATCGAAGGTGGCAGAATGGTGTCGCTGTGCAAATGTGTCCTCGTGGTACGTTTTGCAGTAGTCATAAATCACAGTCGATTAGCTTTTCATTTGATTGCAGCACTTTGTGTCATGTAATTTAATGGAAGTCTTTATGGTGTTAGTCATTTGTGTTTGGCATATGTGCAATTAATATCATGCTTATGTTTGCCTATATGTAAGTATATGTGTATGTGTAACTTCAGCTATCTTGAAGACAATAAATATGTACACCATTCCTTTGTTCTTTATCATTGGAAACTTAAATGGAGAAACCTATTCAAGCAAAGGCGTAGGTTTTGTTTTTAACATACGGGGGACACATATGAAATAGGGTGTTTGAGGTCTTTTCCCAGGAAATTTTACGCATCAAACACATAGACTGTAAAAATATTGGACATAGCCACTGTGTAGTCAACCACTAGTTTGTGGACTCCTTCTCTGAAGCCTGAAATTTGGCATTTTAGCTGTCACCATCTTGGATCTCGGAGCCAGAAGTGACCATATTTGGATGAGAGGGTAGAGCTGTGGAAGAGTGAGGGGTGGATCTGGCTCATAGGCTGTGGTAACGCCTCGCCGACAGCCGATCACTCAAAGAAGCCCCGCCTTTAATTATGTCCAAATTTAAGCCTTAATAAAATGTAAACGAGTGAGTTATGTATATACCAATTCACTGCCTGAGAGACCAGGCTGTAAACACGTTTATTTCTGCTGTAAAGTTGGGCATCTTAACATGGCTGTCAGTTGGGATTAAAACTGTTGTGAAGCCAGCCTCAAGTGGCCAGTTGAAGAACTGCAGTTTCTGGTGCTTCTACATTGGCTTCATTTTTTTTTAGGTTGTTTCATGCATCATTCAACAAAAAGCAATGCACCATTATGTAATCATGAGCAAGTAATTTGTGTATTTGGGAAGACTGAAATCATGTGACCAATGTGCTAAGGGGAGCAAAGAAAGAAGCAAGGACCCAGGTCCAGGTACCGAGGAAGTGTGCCAGGCTTTGAAGCCAATTTTCATAGTGGCCAAATGGTGTAACTACACAGTCACAGGATGCCCTGCAGCCCAAAAAGACTTTTCCCCATTGACGTACATCGTGAAAGAGACGTCTGTAAATCAGTAGATACATGTTTTTTAGCGCCACAGTCCCCACGATATGACTCATTTCATTATCAGGATTTCATCCATTCAGTCCGATAACAATTGGAACGTCTAGAAGAGCCGCACAATTGAATCAATAGGGCTTAACTCTGTTTTGGATCCAGCCTAAAGTGGCCATTTGAGGAACTGCAGTTTTTGTGCACTTTTATGTTGGCTTCAGTTTTCAGGCTGTTCTCACGAACTGTTCATACATTTTCCTGCAAAAAGTAATGCACTAAAATTTGTACATTTCCTATGTAATCATGAGCCAGTAATTCGTGTATAACCCATGAATTTGGGAAGACTGCGTTTATGTGATCAGTGTGCTGATGGGAGTAAAGAAAGACGCAGTCCCATTAGGAGACTTTTTTTTTTTACCTACAATGTGAAAGAGACATTGGTAAATTAGTAGATACATATATTTAACCCCCGCAAATTGACGCGTTTCACATCAGGATTTCATCCGTTCAGTCCAATAATGACTGAAAAGTCTAGAAGAGCCACACATTTGAATCATTTCATCCCTATCCAAGTTAACGGAGCACAAAACTGCAAGTAGTGGGTTCAGCTGGCAGAAGTCTCTAGTGCTCCTGCTCTATGGGCCACACAGATTAGAAGTAGTGCCGATCATCATGCGCCACTGAGCACCTTTAATAGGAATGAATGGGATCCTGCCCCAAATGCTGTATCCAGGTCTTTATTTACATCCATGAGCAGGTTGAGGTGGTGGATGGGTCACAAAAGACTGGACTTTCCCCCAGGACAGTGGTTCCCAACTGGTCCAGCCACGGGGTGCAGATTTCTCCTCAGTCATTTGTTCGAGGTCCACAAAGTTTAATATATTCAGCGTCATACTTGCGTTTGGACATGTCATAAAGCTAGTTTGCTGTCTCTGTCGAGAAGCTGTCTGTTAGTCACTCACTCTACAACAGGAAACAGCACTTCAAAATAAAAGCTCTGTGCTGGAAATTCACTGTACTTAAAAATGAAGTTTGTTTTTTACAACACTTGACATGTTCCCAAGTCACTTGAGGTCCATTCGGAATGGACCCATGCCCCACTTTTAGACCGTGACCCTTCAGTTGGCAACCACCACCCTAGGAGACTGGTGTTGGGAACTCTGTGAACTTTGAGTCATTTTAATGTACGTTGTTAGAATGTTTCTTATCTTAACCCTAACCAAAGTAAGTTTATTTGCCTAAACCTAACCTCCGTAACTTTACATGAAGTATGTAACTTTACATTAAGTATGTAACACCTTGTGTGGGGCGCTAATTCATAGCATATCATATGAACCATTGCGTGAGGATACGTTGCATTTTTCAGCCCCAGATGTTGCTGCTTGGTCAAACCCTTAATTTTTGGATACATTTTTATGCAACAGTTTGTGCCTTTTCTATGTAATTTTACACTGGAGATGCCATTAATTTCCTTTGCTACTTTCTTACCGTGAGAGACAAATGCACATGTTCTTAATATCAAGGGGGACATGTAATCAAAAATAACTGGGTTCTGTAATAACTCCAAAAATATGTGGGTGAGCAAGTTTAGCAAAAATAAAATATGATATGATATGATAATATTATTCCAACTTATTTTAATGCACACGAGGGAAAGAACTAAGGTGTGATATGTGAGTCACACCTCGCTCTGATGGGTGTAGAGGCAAATACTGTAAGCCTAACTCATCTGTGTGTTTATCTGTAACGCTGACAGGCAAGTGACGGTTAAATGACAGACATGGTTGCAAAAAAGCAAACTGACCGCAGCGCAGGTCATCATTTGTAACTGTGACAGACAGAAAGATGACTGCTGGACATCACTGTGGAATACTAATCTACATTTCTCAGAGTCCACGAGACACCTTGGAGATAAAAGATGTAAAACAAGATCTAAGGAATTGTATATTTCAGGTAAAGGAAGCCCTCAAATCTTCTTTCACCATTTATGATGTAATTCCTGTGATGGATGGGACAGTGTGCAGCCTTTGGAAGGATGTGTTTTAGATAGTAATGTCTGAGACCCACCATTCACCCACCATTAAGTGATGAGTCGTGGCCCCTGAAGGCATAACTCACGCTGCTCCTTTGTTATCAATGAGACACACTCTTCATGCATTACCCTCTATAATAGTTGTGATCATTTTAAATTGTGCATCAAAGTAATTGCCATGGCACTTAAGGAGAAAAAGTGAGGTATTGCTTGCAAGGTATAAGACATGTGGTCCATTGTCTGTCCTTTCCCCTGAGGATCGTTTCAAATTAAGATGAATGTGTGACGTTTTTTTTGCCGACACTATCGCTGGTATGTGCGAAGGGTTCATTACTAAACATAAAATCATCACTTGCTATCTTAAAGTGAAAAACTTTATATCACCCAAACTGAGCCTCACCACCAGCTCCTGATGACTTTACTTTCTTATGCTCTTATTAGGAAATTCACTCAGCTTCTGATGCATCTGGATATCCTGGGAAAAAAAACAGTGCAGATAAGGATAACAGCCGCATGTCTGTACACGCAGAACACCACAACTGTGAGAGTTAAACAGGAAGGCTTTGCTGTACAACTCTGGAAGCAGTCACATTTCATGAGGGCTGGTTAATCCCTTCTGTGCACAATCACAGACTAATACAATGAAATACAGATTAAAATGCATATAGATTGTACACGCTGCACAAGATCTGCTTGACCACCATGTTGCTGCAGTTCATCCCGGGACAATGCATGCAATTCTGTGAATGCACCGAGCTCAGAGGGGGTGGAACAAGGGAACAGTGGGCAGGGAGGCCTGACAGGAGGCCTGCTGTCAGCACTAATGTGCATCACAGCACTGCTCACTACTAGCAGATCTGTTCTGTGAGGAAGCATTACAGTGAAACAATTCCTCGGGCTGGTGAGAAGACAGTAATCACAGATTTTGATCTGATACCAAATTAATGGTGGCGAGCCCCTTAAAGCGAGGGTGAATCAGCAGGTCCTGCAGGCACAACGTGTGTGTTTGTGTGTCAGGGAGGCATTCTAATGCAGATGCTCTCAAGTGACTTTTAGGGCTGGTTTTTGTGGGTCTTTTCAGGGGAATGTTACATCCTGCTGGAGGGACAAAAGGTGTCCGAGGTTTGATGCCAGAAATGCTATAAATGATTAAGCTACTCTGATGCCTTTCAAAATACTGAAACGTAACTGTCATGTGATGTTGTGTGTTTAAACATTTGCTTAATATTCAAATTCAGTGATGTGAGCATGTTCTAACCTCGACTGAAAGATGATATAGTCAGCTGTGTTTTGAGAATACTTTATTGTAAGTTATAAAATGTTTAAGGCAAAAGTGTGTCCATTTTCTTTTTTTGGACTTGGTTTGGTTCATGAAAAGTATACTGCAACAACCCAGTCTCACTCTGAAATCTCTGAAATCCGGTGCTTGGGCAGTGACTTGCAGCATCAGATACTGATGAAAAAAGTACCTGACCACATGCATTTGTTGTTGGAGGATAAAAGAAACGTCATTTTGCATTGTTGTACTGGCGTAGCGTGTTTATTTTAAAAGAGACTGTGTGGAAATGTTGAATTTCATGTGAAAACAGAAGTGTATTTTGAAAGAAGTCACTGCATGTAACAGGCAGAACTTGACACGGTGTCCCAGAACATCAACAACCAACGTCAACAACCAACACACCCAGTACCTTGCACATCATATAAACAGAAACACAGCAAGTTGCACCGAGGAGATATAAGTTAGATACTACTGTAAAAATGCGTAGAAAGCATAGCATGCATTGCCCAAAACAAGATATCATACACTACGCTGCCACAGAAACAGTATAAATAATAATAAATATTGGTCAAAATGTATTTCGAAGGTTAAAAACATTCTGGCTGAATGTGGATTATGGCTTGTTCGTGCAGCTATCTCTACTAAATACAGACAATTTTAGGTTAACCTCAGACTCACGGATATGTATCTTTAAGATCAGCCCAGTCACCAAAAGAAAATGTTGGCATTATGTTTCAGCAAACCACAAATATATTACATATGCACATTTCATATGTATCATATCAACACTTTTAAAGTGGAGTAGTTTATGAGTTTTAAGTCTTGTGTGTGA